CGCTCTCTGTCACATGCTGAATACAGGGGCGGGTGGTGCCACGGTTGCGTAAGGAGTAAGAAGTGTTGTTAACCAATGGCAGTGGGTGGGGATATTCTGAGGTTGAGATGACTTATTTGGGATGAGTTGTTTATTCAGAGGTACATACATAGGAAGGTGAAAATGGAGAGTGTAGGTCAGGGTATGGATTATGGAAAGCTTTATACAGTAAGGGCCCCTTCCTGAGTTCCCTCCCCAACTGAAGTCAGTTCTGGAAGAGAGAAAAAAAATCCCCCCCCCTTTTTTTGTTGGTGCTGGGTTTTTTTGTTTGTTTGTTTTTAACTCCCTGATGCCTAGAAGGGCTGGACACAGGGTTAGTGCAGGTATTGCTGCCATGATTGATCAAACTTTACATCCTCTTTGGCCACAAGGGAGTGTAGAAAGGAGATTAAAATAGAGACCAATTTTAGAAGAACAAATTGGAGCTGTCTGGAGAAGGCATTGTCTTAGAGATGACAAGTAGTGAGGTCCACATCCTTGGAGGCGTTCAAACATAGGGAGTCTGAAGGAAACTCTGCTTAGGGACAGCATGAGAACGTTGAAAAATGGTTTTGTTGGTTGAACTCTCCCAGGGATTGGCCTATTGATCAGTATTTTGGAATTCCAGTGGGACAGAACCTGGGTAGGGGTCCCCCATGGAACTCTTGAAGATTGTATGGGAGAGCGGGATATGTGTTTCGAGCAAGGGCTTGGTGCAAGTCACCAATTGCTTGCTCTCCACCAGCTAAGTCTTCGTCAGAGCTCAATCTGCTTGTGAATTTGTCTGGAATCCATTCCTGGCAGCACCATCTGTTTGCGATTATCCTGCCATCTGACCATTTACCCTCTGTCGACTCTCTTCCTCTGGGCACTCCCACTGCCAGTTAGAGTCTACCCATTGTCCAATCTGGATAAACTGAGTCTGAGGAGAGCCTGGACAGCAGAGAGGGGAGGAGGAGGGGAGACCTTCCAATGTCTTGGCATTCAGGGCCATGACGTGTCTGGGAAGTCCCCCCCAGGACTTCACACAGAACCTGGGGAGAGAGCATGGGGCTGAGCCAGAGCCATATTGTTCCCCAGGCACTCTGATGGCTTCACAAATAATATTGATGCCTTTTGTTTGGAAACTTTTTTTGGAGGCTTCCCATTTCCCAACAAGGCATGCTAAATGCTGGGCCTCCCCCAAGCCACTGCCTTTTGCGTGGTCCTGCAGCTAACTGTGCAGGCAGATGAAGGGCCCTGAATGCTAATGAAAGGAATGGCTGGCATTCCTGAGGCACCCCAGCTCTGGGACCCCCGCCTTTGTTGCTAAGGAGCATTGGAACTGTAGCTGAAAAGCTCTAACGAGGAAGGGCAAGGAGAGAAAGAGAAGAAAGGCCAGCATTCGTTTGCAGAGCTCCACAGTTCTCTGGCCTGCTCCAAAGCTGTCCAGTTGCTGATTCCAATTAGAATATCAAACCCTGTATTGTTTCTCTTAATGATCTTGGGAAATTCCTCTGAAGAGTCAGGGAGCACTTAGCAAACTCTTTGGACGGTGTGATCTCTACAGTTGTGTTTCTGCTTGTGTGAACACACAATGCCAAGAATCCTGAAAACACCTTTCATTTCAGTCCCCACAAGGCAGTGATGTAGCTGGGAGAGCCGGAAGAGGACAGAAGGCCATGGGGCTTCAAAGGTTTGATTTGGGGGCTCCATTCTACAATGTTTTCCAGGTGCCCACTTGGGGGTGAATCTGTGCTCTGTGCTAGAAACAAGGCTGGGGAAGACCTTAGCCCTTTCTGGGAACAACCTCCAGACTTGCTGGGGAGACAGACCATGCCTACTAGAGAGAATTTTGCAGGTTATTTGCTCTATGACTTGCAAGCCACTGTTGGACTTGAAGCTGTGCACTGGGTTCTAATCCTGCCTCAGTCACTCAATAGCTGTTAGCTCTTAGGCAATTACCTTGACGACCCTGAGCTTCAGTTTCTCATCTGTACAATGGGCATAGTAGTAACACCAGCTTAGTTGGGTTACGGGGAGGAGTCAGAGCAGGTGAGAGAAAGAACAGGAATGTGGAGGGCATGGTCTCTGCCCTCTGGGACCACATGATCATTGAGCCATCTGTTGGCTTGGGAGGGGCTGTACTTAGAAAAGGCATTTAATGATTTGGTTCATTGAATGGGGTAAATTGAGATACTGTATAAGAATAAAATAGGAAGCCAGTTTCCCTTTATGGAGCAAGTCTATGTGATAGGTATAGTGCTGGGCAATTTGCACCATTATCCCCTTTAATATGAATGACTCTGTGAGATAAGTAGTGAATTGCTCAGGGTCATACGTCTGGGAAGGAGTCTGCCCAGCTGGTGAGATTCAGCCTCTGTCATGTCTTCAGTGATCCATCTTTAGAGGCTGAGGCTTTCAGACAGTTGAGGCAGACACAGTTGACCCTGAGTCTCTCCAGGGCATACTGGAGTTTGAACAGTCCACTGCACACAGACACCTATGTAGAAAGGGTCTGCTAGAGAAACCTGGTCAAGACCACAGACACCAGACCTTCTCTCCCTAGTGTTAGAAGTTCACAATGACACAGTCACAGAGAGTACAGAACAACATTGATCTGAGGGGAAAAGAGAGAGAGAGAGAGAAAGGTAAGAGATTTTCCATAAACAAATCATGGAGAAGTCCTAGGATAGAGATCAAACCAGATTCTAAAGCATAATGACCTCATAGCATTTTCCTGTCTGTGTCCAGTGGTTTGCCTCATGGCAAGGCCTCTTTTAACATCTGCTGTCACATTGTCACCTTGATATCTTAGCTTTATCGTTGACTTAAGTTGAATTTTGCTTCTTTTAATTTTACTAAGAGAAAAGCTAATGAGTATTTTGCAAAATGGAAGTCTTGCAAATATGTGCATGTGCCTGTGTGTGCACATGCACACACACACACACACACACACACACACACACCTTTGGGTGAAGTAGTGGACAATTCCAGACAAGAGATGATCCAAGAACAATTGTCCCTTGGTTCTAGAAGGCAGATATATCTCAAAATTTGATTTTGCTATGGGGGTAGCCTTATGTCCCTGTGTCATTTCACAGAGACTGTTGTTCAAACATCCTGATGCTCAGCAGCTAAGGGAAGGGGCACAAGAAAGGTCCATCTCTACCATGTGCAAGAACTGTCCAAATGGCATGACTCTCAGTGTTTATAACACTTCTGTAAAACACTCAGTGTTTATATTATTCCTGTTACAGTTGAAGGAACCGAAGTTCAGAGAGATTAAACACTTGCCAAGGCCATCACCTACTAAGTGCCGGAGCTGGATTTGGGCTGGTTTTAAAGCCTTTTCTTTTTCTGCTCTCTGTTGAAGGGTGGGTAGTAGTGGTGGGGTGACTGTGGATCCAGATATGGCCATTGACACCCCACTTCCAGAAGCATTCAGTCAGCCAGCTCTACAGGAGTACAGGGTGTGCATGACCTATAGTCGCATTGCTCTGGGGTACCTTTCATGTTGCATTCTATGTCAACAGAGTCTCCTCCAATTGTGTGAGTTGGTGGGTGCTGAGGCTATCCATCAGGAGCCAATCTAGATGCTGCACACAAAGAATTGGGTAAGGTAAGGTTACACCCTCCAGAACCTCATGACTGAGTCTGATAACCCTGGCTTCATGGTTAGGGCTTCCCATCATCCAACCCTCTTTCCAGTCCACTTCCCCACAGAGATGTAGGGTGTCAGGGCATTCTTAGGTATGTGACCAGTGTTCTCCAGAAGGCTCTATCCCTCTGCCCAGTTATCAACAGGCACAGCCCAACAGCTTTTCTATCCTTTGCTTCTTTGAGCCTCTCTTTCCTCAACAGTATTGAGTACCACTTAACTCAATATGGTAAAACCTGCCACATTGAGTTGTCAGAGCTGGATGAAACAAAATATGTCCAGTTCCCAGCACACGTTAGTTGCCCAATGTATGCTGACTTATTTGATCTAATATTCTGACATTTTGGTAGCATGAGAAAGCCATGTTTATTTGTTTACTTCTCTGACCTAAAAGGTAGCTAGCAGGTCCAAGGGTTCTAGAATGTTAGAGAGATGGTCAGCTGCCTCAGGAGGCATTTTTCTGGGTTACTCAAGGTTTATAAAAACTAAAGCAGGTCAGACTTGGAACCCTTAGAGATCGCTGATGTTAATGGATCAAAATTATTTTGTTCTTAAGGTTTTGTTTATAAGATTTTATGAGCCCCCCCCCATATAAAATGGATAAAAAGGGATGCTCAGAGAGTTACTTTCCCCCTTGACCTAAGTCCTTTGTCCTGTCTCCCACACAAATTTGAAAACCAGAATTCAGGTCACTCAGCATTAATGATAGTTCTGGGAACACATTTGTCTCTGAAGTCCTGGGTCAGTATTCCTTCGGTGAGCTCATGCTATCTGTCTGGTGTGATGTGCATGTGAGTGTGTGTTCTGTGGGAGGTGCAAAGTTGGATAGAAGAACTATGGGAACTTGTGGAAAGTTTTGCTTGATTTTCCTGCCAGAGAGAACAAAGATGTTACCTATTTCCAGAACCCTTTGTCCCAGGTGTCAATCATTAAAACTCCTATCTAATACTCTGGGAAAATACCCTTGGGGACAGTGTAACATCATCTGGGTTTGTACTAGAGAAAATATCTCACTTATTCAGAAAACTCACTTGGAATTCTGCTTGCTCCTACCCTTAGTCTTAATATATTGTTAATAATTTTATTTTTCTTATAATGTGGATATCCTTCCTAGAATAGTGACTAGAGGAAAGGCTAGTTTACTCATCCAAAAATGATGTACCTAGGTCTCTTCTGTGACAGGCATTCTGGGGAGTTGACAACAATATCTAGCATATTTTTTACTCTATGGAATTGTAGGGTTTGCAAAAACAAAGTTTCATTAGCAATATAGAAAAAAATTTATATAATGTTAATAAGGAGCTTTATTAGAATAGGAGGGGACTTTAAGAAATTGGTCTCTTGCCACCTCAGGAGACGAAACCCCGTTTTCTCGGGTCACTCTGAGCTGCTTATGAGGAAGGATCATAGCCAGAGAAGAAGTCCAAGTCCAAACCATCTCCAGTCCCTGTATTGGCCTCACTCAGGCCGGGGAGAAACACGTGTCTGGGTAAAAATGAAGATAAAGGAAACATCTGTTCTCACAATATGGGCTTGTTATCATAGCTCCTTTAAGTACCGAAGTGCTGGCTCCAAGAGCATATTTTCTCCCACACAGAATCTCCTCAAGGCTTGGTCGATTTTCCGAGGGCTCAGGGACAGGTTGTAAATGAGATTGTAGTTGTGAATGAGGCGTCTGGCCCTTTCCTTCTCCAGAACTCCTGTGATTGGGTTGGGTGGGTGGGAAGATTTGAAAAGAGGATGGAGAAAGCAAAAAAGAGGAAAAAAACCTATATTAGCTTGAATGACTTCTGAGTAAAAACAAAATGCTAATATTTTGACACTTTCAGCTTCTTAAAGCATTTTAGGCTTATTCTTTGTGGCCATAAAACTTTAAAGGCTAATTTTTAAAACAGGCGGGGTGCCTCCTAAAATAAATTTCCAATTTTTGTGGTTTATTTTTTATCTTATTGAAGTAGCCAAACATGCTCCTAAATATGCAGGATTCAAACAGCTCATTTTATGCATTTTTGGAAATGTATTTACTGTGACTCCCTCCTGCTTGCTGTACGATCACAGGTAAATCATCTCATTTCTCATGGCTCAGAGTCTACATCTGTGTAATAGAGATGGTAGTGTGTATCACCACAGGGTGTGCCCTGGTACCCATGCATCATATGTATCAATGCCAAGGTGCTTTCCAAGTTAAGGTTAGGTGGATTTGGGTAGTTGCAGAGAGGAGTTTTAAGTGGAGAGAGTGGCATCAGCAAAGACAAATAACTCATTCATAAGCCCCTAATTGGGAGCTCATATATGTCAGATACAATGCTTAGGAATATAGAAGATTTAGAGAAGGAACCTTTTACCTCAGGAAGATCCCCAGCCAGTCGAGATGGTAAGATATGCAGAAAATTAGCTAGAGTATCACAATAGCGACTGATACTTACATAGGTATATAACATTTACTGCATTTCAGGCATGCCTCCAAACATTGTACCAGTAGTGATTCATTTAATGCTCACAACAACTCATTTTCCAGAGGGAGAAACTGAGGCACTAGCTAATTTTCTGTGATGGGTGTTCTTCACAGTGGGCTACAGACAGGCGGGGTCCTAATGTGATTTATTCCATTCAGTTCTATTCGGTTCTATTCTGTCCCATTCCATCCCATCCCGTCTCTGTTTATTTTCTGTTCTATGTAGGTTTGTTTATTGTCTCTCTCTTCTATTAGAATGTTGATCCTTTCCTCTGCAGAAATATCGTTCTGTGAGTTGGCCAATCTGTGAGTTGGCATCTTTGCATTTCTCTGCATTGGGTGGCTGCTCTTGGTCTGGTCTAGGTTAGATCCCTCATATTCTGCCTCTGGAAATATAAGTCATGAACTTTGGAGTAAGTGTCTGACTGAGGAAGGTACTTTAACTTTCTGAGCCTCAGCTTCCTCAACTTTAAAATAGGGATAATTAAACTGTATGAAAATCAATAAAATAATGAAAGCTTAGCACAGTGTCCAGAACTATTAAGCACTCATTAATGCAAACATTATTATAGGATGATTATAATAGTTATAGCACCAATATTATTCAAAATAAATAAGTGTCTTAATAAGAAGAAAATTTTTAACTGCATAAAATTTAGTTTATATTTTAATTAAAAATTAAAAGTAGTGTTAAAAAAAATACACATAGGAATCACCGCTGGTGTGTGTGGGGGCATTTTGTACTATCTTCTAAGCTTTACCACTGGTAGAGGATTCCTAGTGTCAAACAAAAGTTCATTGGCTGAAATTTGTATCTGTCTAATTTACTGTCATTAGGGGCTGCCCAGGACAGCTGCATAAAATAACCCTTACAATCCATCTTAGTGCTGAAAAGCCTGTTCTTATCCCACCAGAACCAAAATGAAAGGAATAAGAAGAAGAACCTCTTTAACATCCACTTCATTCTCCAGTTTGCAAAGAACTTTCAAATCTCATGTGATCCTTTCTCCCAGCGGGGAGGTATGTTTTATTATTATCAGTCTTATTTTATAGATAAGGAAACAGGCTCAGAGAATATAAATAACTGGCTTTCAGGGCTCAGCAATTAGTCAAGTCGGGACTTGAATCTAAGTCTTCCAGTGAAAACAAAGACACAACCAACAAAGCAACAAGCACAATCTCGCGTTCTTTCTGATGTGTCCTGGGAGTTTAGTATAGTGGGAAGTCCAATGGAACTGGGTTTGAATTATGGTTCCATTTCCCACTGGCTTGTCTTTTACCACTTTGAGCTTGGCTTTTTCCTCCGTAAATAAGGCCATTAATCCCTTCAGCATGTGGTTGATGTGAGGAGTTAGTGATTCACTGTTTGTAAAGTCCAGACTCATGCAAAGAATGTCCTTGAGGACTCTCATTGCATTCTGCCTCCTTGAACTGGAAAACATTTTCTATCTAGCCTTCAGTTCATTGGGAAAATTCCAAATCTACCATTCACCCAAACATTTATCCCAACCGCCCTTCTTTCTTTAGAAAACATGACCAGTTATTCACAGTCATTTCTTATTCTTTCTCCTCAAGGATATTTTCTTGACAACTCCTGTTAGGACATAAGCACAGGGTAGGTTCCCAGAAACACTAATTTGATGATGGATGGTCTGTCTTCACCCTGAATGAAGAACACCCTGGCCTACATATTTCCTTGCACATAATAAAGAACACTGATTCATCAATAGGCAAAGTAGGTATCATCTGCTCAGTGTCTTGAATGAGGCTGTGGTGGTCAGCTAAATGCTGTGGTTAATAAACCAACTAAATGACCTCAGTTAATCTTCTTTCCTCATTAAAGATAGTTATAGATGTTCCCAGATCAGGCTGACACATTCCCTGGCTGACGAGGCACTAACGAATTTCATAGAAACAGAGAAAACAGGCATAAATAGTGAAGAGGCCATGAGAGAGGCATTTCAAATCTGCTGGATCTGCCTCCAAAGTCAACAAAACTCTGTTTTTCCTCAGAACAGTTTAGAAGTATGAGAAAGGTCCCCGTCATTGGGGAGTCTCTTAGCAACTAAGTTTATGATCCATCATCCATCACTGCAACTCAGCATTTGTTTCTTTAGAAATGTCTTCCCTCTCCACCTGATGTTTTTTGTGCACATGGTTAATAAGTTTAATAAACTAGATGAATTTTTCATTTAAAATTTTTATCTCCCCCACTCTTTAGGATGATTATTAGAAGTTCCTGGGTATTTTATGGTAGTTATACTTTATGTGGTCTAGAGTTAAGTGCTTTGGAAATTCAAAACAAAATGAAACAGAAACACACAGAGAATGAAAATGCATTGCTACTGTTATGTGATTACTTCTAGAGAGTGCTAACGTATCCACTATTTTTTTGATGAGATGTAATTGACATATACCGTTATACAAGTTTAAGGTATACAATGTGATGATTTGATACATGTATATATCGGGAAATGTTTAACACAATAAGGTTAGTTAGCATATCCTTTATCACATGTAATTACCATTTTATTGTGGTTGTTGTTGTGGTGGTGAGAACATTAAAGCTCTGTTGTCATAGCAGCTTTCAGGTATACAATACAGCATTGTTAACTAGAGTCATCATGCTGTATGTTGAATTCTTGGAACTCATTCATCTTCTAACTGAAAGTCTGTGCCTTTTGACCAATGTTTGCCATTTTTCCCGGCAACCACCCTTCTACCCTCCACTTCTATGGGTTCCATGTTTTTAGGCTCCACATATAACACACTAACTCACCATAACTACAGAACATAGTTAAGTACCATCATTTCAGTCCATGTGCTTTTGTATCTGCTCCCTCTTCCCCAGGTTTCTGACCTTGTTCTGGACTTCATTTTCAGTTGGACATTGCAAATCCTTACTCCTTTCCCTACTTTCAGTTTCTCCTTCAATCTGCACACAGCCATCAAGGATCCTTCTGAAATACAACTTCATCATACCACTTCCCCGCTTAGAAACTCTCAGTGCTACTCACTCTTTCTGAACCAAATCCAAATTCCTTGGTCTGGCATCTAAGATCTTCCTAGATCTGGAATCTTATATTTCTACCTTTATCATTTAACATTCTTCTTAATAGCCCTTATAGTCTTTCTAATCAAAACTTCTTGCACTGAGCTTCACACATAACACTTTGCTTGGCTAACGTATGCCTTTGCCAGAAAGGTCTATGTCATTCCTTTGTATGTAAACTGCACCTTATCCTTAATGGTTAATTTCACACTATTATAACCTTCACTGATCACCTCACTAAGAAGGAATACTCCTTTCTCTGCCCACATTGCACACTGTAATGGTATTTATTACCTTCCATCTTGGATTTATTTATGTATTTACATTCATTCCTTTCTTCGTTCCCTCAAAAAGAAAAAGTTGAACAGAACTGTGCAAGGTGCAAGGGTGAAAAAAGAAATATAGTCTACTGGTAAGACTGTAACATGTCTCCAAATGAAAAAAATATATATCAAATATGATAATGATTGTTAAAGAACTCTAGGAGGCCAGATAAAGCTTAGCCTAGATCTGTCTGGGGAAATTTTGGGAGTCTCAGAGCCTGAGTTCTAACCTAAAACATGTTTAGGCATGAGCTAGCCAGGTGGACAAGATGGGGTATTGGCACGGGTGGGGTAGGAAGGGGAGGGGCAGACAGCTCAGATGGAGAGAGTAGTGTGAGAAAAGGAGCAACCACAGGAGAAAGCATGGCATGTTTGAGGAAGGCAAGTTATTCATTATGATAGGGTAGGATATGCTGAGAGAATACCAGTTGAAGGAAAAGAGACCGGTCAGGTGGACAGAACCAGCTTTCGCCTTGCTAAGGAGTTTGGAGTTCAGCCTGTCAGTGGGCATGCTGAAGATTTCAGCTGGGAGTTACAAGATTGGTTTATAGGTTAGACACCAGTAGTTGAATGGAGGAGGATCAAAGACACAAAGAGACTGTGAGTAACCTGGTAGGGGATTCATGTCTGATTCTGATTCATCTTTGTATTTCCCAATTGTGCTCCCAGTGCCAGTGCACATGGTTTATATACGAAGTGTATTTGTTAAGAAGTGAAAGGGAGGTGTCCCCTTCCAGACTAGAACATAAATAGAAAGGCATATCAGCTCTAAGCTTCTCATTTCACCTGTATTACTCAGATCACACAGGTAGAGGGCATTTTCCAGCTTCCTGAACCTGTCGATCCATGTGTCATATTCTTCAGATTCGTTCTTCATCGTCGGACTCACAGGAGGCTGTGAGACTGGCCTGACCTTCAGAGCACTCAGGGGATCTTTGGGAGCTGAAATCTCAGCAGGAGGGTTTTCTGGTTGCGGCTCCTCTTCTGGAGTTTTCTACCAAAACAACACAAGCATCTCACTGGCAAGACATTCACCACACAGAGCTCCTCCAGTCTCTTGGCCAAAGATGAGGCCACACAGCTAGCAAGATTTATTGCAAAGTCTGGCTTTGTAGAATTAGAGGATGTGTTTCAAATTCTCAGTGCCATAGGACCATAGCTGCCAATTCTTGCTGGATATGAACTACTGTGTTGAGTTTTTGTTGTTGTTGTTGTTTTTCGTTTTTCGTTTTTTTTTTTTTTTTAAGGGAAGGGTGAAATCATGACTTTATTCAGTTTACATTTCTGATTTACACAAAACAAAGGTTTTTGTAACTGAGACTTTTCATGACATTCTACACTGTTTTATACTAGTGGGATACACAGGGTATAGGCTTCAGGCAATGCTTATAATTTCTTGGTGGGAAAACCTCTGCATCATGTGTGAGATTCTTGACAAAAGGTGATTGAAATAATACTGATATTATCTTAGGCTCATGGGCTCATTCTAACAAACCATAAAGCACCTCTGTGTTCTATCATTCTTATTCATTTAAGAATAGGCTGCGGCCTAGGGAGTGGGCTTACTAAGATCATATAATCAGTGGTAGACACAAAACTAGAAGGAGGGTGTAGAGGTTACGTCTAGCTCATTTTGGTATTCTAACTCCATGTCCAGCACAAAATGAGATGCTTTTAGAACAAGTAGACAGATGAGTCCCTGCTGCACCATGTAAGACATCCTATCACCTACCATGAAGGGAGAGAGCGGACATTGCCTGTTTGATCTGCCCAATCCCACTGCTTCAGGAATTGCCCATCCTCCCTATCTCCATGGCGGGGGAGAGAATCGCCATGTATGCAAGTACATGGTGCAGGACTGGGCATCTAATGCCAAATGGGCCAATAAACATACTGTGCAGTTGTTTTGGAGCTATTTGTGAGAGATAAAGACAAAGATAGAAAAACAGAGGTCATTCTGTGTGAGATGTAGGAACTCTAACAGGTTTTCCACTCTGTGTATTGGAAATGAGAAGAAAATGGTCTGCTGAGAAAGAGAGACAGATGGAAAGATAGGCAGATAGAGGATATGAAGCTGACAGCAGAAAGAAGAGAAAAGATACAGGAAGTCATGATGTTGTCCAAGTTTCTGATTTTAGTTCATTGTTACGGTTCTGTCCTTAGGTAGCATAATATGCTTGTCTATCCTTCCAGTGTATGAAATTGGTAGAGTTGGTTCTGTTCACCTCAATGCAAATAATCTTAACTAATTTGCCATAGAATTATGTCTCTAAGTTCTTTAAATCTGTGCTTCCCCCAATTTTCAAATATCTGAATTTCTCGTTTTGTACCTTTGTCTCAAACTTCTCACATATAAGTTGTGAAAATCCCATAGCTCTAAAGAATGGAAATGGCAATAGGACACTAAGTTTTGAGTTTGTTAACAAACATGCATTAAGCTGCTGCTGGGGAATGTGAAGAACTGTTTTGTTTGAAAGAATAGAATGCTGGGACACCTGGGTGGCTCAGTTGGTTAAGTGCCTGCCTTTGGCTCAGGTCATGATCCCAGGCCCTGGGATTGAGTCCCACATCAGGCTCCTTGCTCAGCGGGGAGCCTGCTTCTTCCTCTGCCTGCTTCTCCCCCTGCTTGTGCTCTCTCTCTCTCTGACAAATAAATTAAAAAAAAAAAGAAAGAATAGAATGCTACATGAAATTGTAACCATATGGATGACCAGCAACCAGTAAATTTTAAGAGATTAATATAAAAGAATTCCACTTTGATAAAATCAATTTTGAGAAACAGCTGAAAGTTTTCATAAAGTAAATAAATACGATTATTATACTTTTTAGAGCTTTGGACCAGTTTAGAAATCCGATGAATACTTTAGATAATCTACCCAGCTAAATGTACATTTGCATAGAGTTTGGTGGATGATTTTCGAGAATTCAAAGAGGTCCTTGGATCTGAGAAACTGATTTTAAATAAATTTTTGTATTCTTTCAGATAGTTCAACATTCTCTTTGACCACTAAAGGCAGGGAAAGGGGGGTTTGTATGGACCTGAATTAGGCTCAACTAAATAAGTAGTAAGTAAGTAAGTAACACACTCTATTTGTTTGGTCCCACTCTATCAGGATAAAGTCCAAATTCCTTACTTGGCCCATAAAACCATTCAAGTTCCTGTTCTTGCTTCTCTTCTTTCAGCCCTATGTATGCATTTTTTTCTCTCATCTTTTTCCAGCCACATAAAACCAGAAAAAAATGAAGCTGTATGATGCCTTTATGCTTTATACATGCCGTTCTCTCTGTCGTGAGAACCCTTCTTACTACTCATGTCTTGATTGGTTGGGCTTCTTACTCAGACCCAACTCATATTTCACTTCTTGTGGGGAGCCTTCCCCAAAGCCCCAGGCGGGGTGAGGGGTGAGTCCTTGTAGCCCCTTTATCCATCACAGCATTTATTAGAGGATATTGTGACTGTTACAGTATCTCTCTCCTCTACCAGAGATGTAGAGACTGGGCCTGTGAGGTAGTCATTTGTGGACCTTGAAGGTCTGGTTAGTGGCCGGCGCATAGTTAGTTATAAAGACATGTTAACTGAACAAATAAGGGAATGAATAAATGATTTTCTCTGGGAAAAGAGGAAATGTGCTTTACCAAACTTCTGCTTCAATTTCACTCTCAAAAACTGGGGCAATGAATGCTGCTTATAGAGGAATGTGAAAAGAATCAATTATTGCAGAGATGCAGTAAAATCCTCAAACAAGAGGCAAAATAAAAGAGCAAAGTGTATTTTTTATAATCTTATTCACAACAGACTTAACACTCAAGGAGAAAAGCATTTGCTGTTGTTTCTTGCGTGGCAAGAGGCTTGCCAAAATGGATACTATTTTCTAAAATATTTCAAAGTGTGAAGTGCATGAAGAGGCCTCCCGTCATTTTAAGATGAATTATGTTCTAATCCGGGCATTTAAAAAACAACAACAGAAAAACTCAGGCTGTTTTTCAATTCTGTCTGCATCTTCTTTTGGCTAAGTGCTGGGAATATTAAAACGGATTTTAACTGCTTGCCAGATTTTTTTTTTTTTTTTTTAAATCAGAGAGCCCATTACATTTTAAAATGTGATGTCTGGGGAAAAGGTCACCCTCAGTTTCTGGAAGCCGGGCTTAAGATGTTAAAATAGGTCTCATAACCATCTTTTATTTTGATGGCAGTTGGTGGATTGGTCACATGATTTGGAAGGACACCTGTATACATGCTACAAATCCAGTTTCTTGGGGCAGAAGGTGGGCCCATCACCGCGTGTTGAGAGATTTCTGCATGCATACCAGCTGGGACAGAAACCAACCCACACACTCTCAAGAGTTCTGCCTCCCTTCTCCATTGGAGCAGAGTCTCAAAGTCAAAGAGAGCCCGACATCAAGGTGTTGGGTGGAAATCAAAAACCCAGAAGGGAGGGCCCCACCCAGCCTCAGAGAAGAGAAGGCAAAGGATGGGCAAAGCCCTTCCTCCGGCTCTGTGTAGCCAGGTGCCTACCATATGTTCTGTTTTGCCTGGAGACATCTCAGGGACTTCAGCCTGCTTTGCAGTGCCAGAGGTTTTCTTTACATTCTTTCCTGGACAAGAAAGAAGAAAATGGAAGGGTTTAGTTTGGTCTCCTCATGTTAGCACCAACACGTATGCACCCAGGCCAAGAGAATGTGGAGGCTCCGTTATGTGGTTGGCACTGTGTTAGGTGATAGGGAGACACTGGTAAATAAAAGCTCCGGTACCTGCCGTGGTGAAGTTCACAGAGGGCAAGTAGATGCTAAATGACTACTCAAAATTATTATTTGGTTACAAACGACCATAAACACAACCCAGGAAAAGGTGAAAATATTTACACTTATTTTGAGATGGGGCAGGAGCTGGGGAGGATCGGAGAAGGCTTGCTGGAGGAAGTGACACTTAAACTGGGGGCCTGAGGGATAAATAGGAGTTTCCAAGTAGAAGTGATGCTGGCAGAGCCTCCTGCACTACAGATTGTTCCAGATAAGCAGAGACAACAGCCTCTAGAACCACCTTGAATCAGGAGGCCTTCTACAGTCTGGAGAATGGCAAGGGGGTCTCTTTCCATAGCTCTGCCTCTTTCCAGAAAAGCAGGAACTTCTGCCCCTCTCTCCATACAGGTATGTGCCTGAAGGATCAGGTAAAAGCTTTGTCTTCCCCCTTCCTTACTCCTTTCAATGTTCAGAGGTGCTGTACCAGAAGAGGTTTGACCATTATCCCTAACCCGGGAGAGTCTCCAGCCCAGGTACTACTTGCTCAGGCTGCTGCCTTATGAATAGAAATTTCCTTAGGGTCCAGGAAAAAGACATGAAGAGCTTCTGCTCAGGTCCTTAGGCTTATGATGGGTGTCATTCATTTGTCACTAGCACCTTTGGTGACTTACTCATTTATTTTACAAATCCATGCAACGACCACACAGTACAGATATCTGGGAGCTTTAGCTTCTGTATTTAGTGCATAATTCAAGTATGCCATTAACAAATGCATTTTGCTCCTCACGCTTTCAATGAAGATGGTTCAATTAATACGTTTTTTAAAAAGGTAGAAAGTGGCCGTGTAACATCGTGGTGGAGAGTGGAGGTTCTGAAGCCAGACGCCCTGGGTTTGAATCAGTCCTGGCTCCTTTCTCTATGCTCCTTTCTCTCTGCGTGACCTTGGGCAGGTTACTTGTCCTCTTTGTGTCTCAGTCTCCACTTTTGTAAAAGGTGGCTAATGCCACCCATAGATTATTGTGCGGATTAAATGCGCTAGAAACTGTAAAGCAAACACCTGGAACATAGCAAATGCTCAATAAATGTTAACTGATAGTGTCATCTCTATAAGGACGTTCACGTAAATTAACTTACATATCAGATTAAAAAGCCTTTTGTTGCACCTTTAATATTGCACCTATGAATCATTATGAATCTCCCCCCTCAGTCTCTTGATGAAGATAATGTGACTTCATAATATCCGAAGCCCCAGCACCCAGCATTAGAATAAGTACTCAGTGCATGCTTGTAGACTACATGAATGACCATATGCCCTGATATGGAGTCTAGAAATTAAAGTCGCTGAATATATATTTCTATTTCTCCCAATTCCTTTTCGGACCCTGCAGGAGGAAAACTCTTTCTCTGCATCTCTTTATCTTCCCATACCTAACCCAGATGCTATATAGAGTAAAACTTAATAGATGCTTAATGAGAATCATGATAGCCAGTTAAGGCAGCCCCTTCAAGGCAGATCTGTTTTAATCGCTGAAAATTTGTCATGGGAACCCATCATCACCTAGTAGCCCTGGCCCCGGTTTATTTCACCCAGTATGTGAAAGAAAAGCTTCCTGGTTGCTGCAGGTGGAAAAACGTTCCAATTACTGTGAATTATCAAGGTTGAGAGTTAAAAGGATTCTAGAAGCAGTATATGGCATATAAGATAAAATTTGGTGCCAGACCTGAATGCTAATTCTGATTCTTCCCTTTACCAGCTGCAACCTTTCAGATCCTAATTTTGTCAGTTGTGAAAAGGGAACCAGCAGTTGGCAGAAAGATTGTGGAGATTAAAAAAAAAAAAGTTACTGACCAAAAATACTTAACACAGGGAAGATGCTCAGTGCGAGGGATTATTGTCTGTTACTGTGTTATCATTATTATATGATCTTAAATGAATCTAGCTTCCCCAGAAGAGAAGACTTAACGTTATCATGTGCCGAGCAGTTTTCTGGGCACTGTTCCTGTACATTATCCCTTTTAGCATAAGATCTAGAACCTAGTCCTTGTCCCAGGCCAGCTTCTCTCTGGTGTCTGCACTTCTCAAAGTTACATTAGGAGAAAATACATGCTAGTCTCCCTGGTCTCTCTTTGGATTCCCTTTCTCCCTTCTAATACCTAGGAGCATATAAAAAGGTAATGGTTTGCACATGTAAAAATGGTTTGAGAAACCCGAGGCAGAGCTAATTTTTTTTTTCTTTCTAACACAGCAGGAAGGATAAATAATAACCATCTGTCTAGTCCGCCAGTTGATGATTTGTACTGGAGGAAATAAGCCAAGCTGGCTTCTAGAGATTTCCAGGTGTTGGAAGGGCCAGGTTTTACAGGGCTTCCAGTGGATTCTGATAGTCACACAGCCAGCCCTCCCATCCCAGCCCCCCACCCCCAACTAATGACTTGAAATCAGTGGTCTTCAGCGCAGGCTGCTAACATGCTCCCACCTGGGGAGCTTTAAAAATTACCAGTGCCTGGGCGGCACACCAGACCAATTAAATCAGAATCTCGAGGGGTGAGAACCCAGCTCAGGATGGCTGAAGAATTCCCTAGGTAATTCTAAAGTGAAGCTACAGGAGAAAACAACAGATTTAAATAAAGACTTCTGGCCTCACTGGACCTAGTAAATGAAACTTTTGTGAGAAGGAAACAAACATATGTTAAATATCTATATATTCCAGACATTTTTCACAGGTTTTCTTAACTCAATCTAAAGAATAATCTTGTGAGGTAGAAATTATCTGCATTTTACAAATGAGGGGACCAAGGTAACACCAGGTTCAGTTTCTTGCTTAAGACAACAGAGGTAGGGTTAGGTCTGGATTCTAATTCATTCACTCACTCAACAAACATTCCTTAAATGCTAACTGTGATACAACAATGAATAAGACAGAATCTTCCCACGGAGTGCTCATTCCAGTGGTGAGGGCAAACAGAGAGATATGTAATGTCAAGTAGTGATAAGTGCTAGAAACACAGCTCAAGCCAATTATGGGGGTAGAAAGTCTTGGCAGTTGCTATTTTAGGGAAGGAATTCACCCAAGTCCTCTCCAAATGACATTCAAATAGAGCCCTGAGAAACATGGGAGAAAGCCATGCAAATGTCTGCAGAAAGAGCGTTTCAGGAAAAAGCTATCATAAAGGCAAAGGTCACAAGGGAGGGAGGAGTGTTTGGTGTATTCAGGCAATAGCGGAGAGGAGAGCCTAGCTGATAAAAAGGGAAGAGAAGGTTAAGTATTCACAGAACTGAAGGGCCTCACGGGCCATGCATGTGACTGGAATTGATTTATTTTTTTCTTCCATCATTCATTTCTTCTCTGGCAAATGTCCTCTTCATTATCCCCTTCTAGTGATAGCAGCTATATTTTACTTTGTGGGGACCCCTCCTCCCCATTCTAGTGATGTGGTAAGACTGACACCCAGTTCCAACTCCGAGGTTGGTCTCTGATTAGTTGAAGACTATCATGGTGTCCTAATCACAGTCTTGGTTCTAAGGTGGACATAAAACTCAATTTAGTCTAAGCTCTGACACTAGAGGAGACATCTGCTACAGTTTCTCAACTCGTAAAATTCTCTCCTCCTGGGCAGGACCGGCCAAAAGAGAGTGCTGTGAAGATATGATGACCTTGACTACCATAGCTATTTTGTTATTGAAGAAGTGTCTGGAGTAATTGAGGCACCACCATGTAGAGCCTAAGATGATGTCAGCACCATATACAGCCGAGCAGAGAGCCAGAAAGAAACCAGATCCTGGATTTTGACATTTTTAATGACTACATCAAACCAGCCTGTAGCTCTTGCTGCTGCCAGACTTTTTATTTACATAAACCAAACCTCTTTATTCTCTAAACCAACTGAGCTAGCTTTTCTGTCCCTCCATTATAAACAGTTCTAAGTAGGAATTACTATGGATATTTTTTTTCCTTAATAAAAGGGAGGTTAAACTCTTAGTCATTTTTCTGTGTTGTCTTCACGAGATGTTTGAGGGGATCAATGAGCCCCTGAGGCTATGATTATTCCCTCCAGTTTCCCCCCATTAGCAGCCTTGCTATAACCCTGCTCTGTGCTTCCTGCTTTTTCTTCCTCTTTCTCACTCACAGACTCCAGAGTGAAGAGATTGAAAGTTGGAGCCATACTTCATTTTTGAGAAATACTATTTTAGACCTCAGACCATAGCATGTTTGGAGGGGTCTGAGCTCTTTTGTATTTGTCTTCATGGGAGTTCACAGCACTTGGATCTGTGGCTCGAGATCTTTTATCACTTTTGGAAATTTCTTAGCCATAATTGCTTCAAATACTGCTTCAGCTCTATTCTCTTCCTCCTATCTTTCTGTGACTTCATTAGATGTATACTGAATATTCTTGCTGTTTCCTATATGTCTCATACACTTTTTTTGGTATGTTCTATCCTCATTGTTCCTTCATGCTTCAATCTGGATATTTCCTACAGAACTATATTCCAGTTCATTAATACTCTCTTCAGCTACACTCAACCTTCTGTTCAACTGATCTAGTGAGTTTTTTAAATTTAGTTTTTATATTTTTCAGATCTAGATATTCTATATATCTAGAGGGAGGAGTGTTTGGTGCATTCAGGCAAATTCTATATAAATTCTATATATTCTATATAAATTCTATATAAATTCAAATGACTTGCTGAAATTTTCCACCTTATCCATTTTCTTAAACATATTAATTATAGTTATTTGAAAATTCATGTCGTGTTTTGTATCATTCCTGATTATTTTTAACTGAATGCTGGACATTTTGTATAAATAATTCTCATGATTTTATATGATGTTAACTTCTTCCAGAGGGTTTTTTCCTCTTTTCTTTCTGGTATTCAATTTGAATTCCAAATAATATCTTTCAAAGAGATGTTTTGTATTTTATCTAGTCTTCTAGTTGATCTTGCCAAGAGGTTTGGTCTGCTGTAAACTAGTCCATTCTAGACCGTAGCCTAAGTCACAGATATTAAGTATTTATGTGACTATCATGTGTACATTAAAAAGACAAGTTCATAGGATTCTTGGGGGTCCAAATGAGTTAAAGTTTGTGATATAAGGCAGTATATATAAAAATGAGTCATGTTAATAGGTTATTATGGAATCTTTGAGTTGAAACAGGCCCCAGGAATGAAAAAATTCACAATTCTTCACACCCAAAAGGAGTAGCTGCCTTTAGTTTTTTTATAATATACCTTCTTTCAAGAAAACTGGCAAATAGAATGCCCCCTTTCAGAGCCTAGGAGCACTTAATCATCATAGCTCCAACAATACAGAAATGGGAAGAGATCAAGGCATTAATTTTCTCAGTAAGCAACAGGCTATCACAACAACAATGCAACAAAAGTATCGTCAAAGTCCTGTTTTGCACTGTGGAGTGCAATATTGCCTAAAAAACTTTGTCATACCTGTAATCACCCTATCAGAGCAATAGAGCAGGTATTTTTTTTTATTTCATATTTTCAGTTCATTTTAGAGATGAGAAAAATGAGTCCAAGAGAAGTAAAATAAGTGTTCCAATATAAGGTGGTTATTTAGTTGCAAAAGTGAGACTTTGACTCATCTTTTTATACACTTTTCTATGTCATCCATTATGGGTTGAATTCTGTCCCTTCCAAATTCGTATGTTGAGGCCCTAACCCCTAGTATCTCAGAATGTAACTGTTTTTGGGAGACAGGCATTTAAAGAGGTGATTCAGTTCAATTGAAGTCATTAAAATGAGGATACTAATCTTCACCATGACTGGTGTTCTTACGAGGCCAAAAATTTGGGCACACAGAGAGACACCAGGGATGTCCATGCACTGATAAAAGACCATGTGAGGACATAGTGAGAAAGAGGCCGTCTTCAAGCCAGGGAGAGAAAGGCTTCAGAAGAAACCAAACTTGCTGACACTGGGACTTTGAACTTTTAGTCTCCAGAACTATGAGAAAATAAATATCTGTTGTTTAAGCCACTCTAGCAAATGAATGCATCAAGTGACCTGGATTTATATTAGAAGAGAAAGAGAAAGTATTTGGTTTAGACGTTTGTTGTGATCACCTTTTGATGTCCTTGTTTTGTCTTTTCAACAAAACTGAGTTCTCTGAAGTTATAGACGACATCATGAAAAATGAACCCTCGCTTTTTATCACCCTGTTGTCTTCTAGCACATCCCTTCTATCTCTTTTCTATAATGCTGGGCTGGGGAGCTACAGCTACATTTCCCAGATACCCTGGCCCACTGGCTTCTGGCTAAATTCCAGCAACGGGAGGTGCTTGGAGGGAGATTAGACTGTGGGGAGAGTAGAAGTACTCTCTTCTTGTTTTTGGAGTTTGTTAGTATCTGTCCAGAATCAGGGGAGAGCTACTGCTGTTGCTAAGATTTGAGCTGTCAGAGGAGCCTCCTGGATCTCACTCTTGGGTCTGAAGGAGACTCCTGAAGTGTTTTTCAACATTCTCAGCACAAGTCAAATGTGAAAACTCAAAATTTAGATGAATAGCCACAGGACAGACATCCCATTCAGTAGGTGCAGCATTGACCACATGGTGTTCTGTCAGAAATCCAAGCACCAGCCCCCTTTGTGAAACACTGAGTTTCAAACTATGTGGTGTAACCAGCTATGTGGCATCGCCTTCAAAATTCTTTCTCTAGCTCCAAGCTATATTCTTGGAGATCCTAGAATCAACTATGTAGTAGCACTCACCAAGATTCTGCTAATAATACACCTTTCACTATGTTCCCTCAGCCCTAAGGATGAGAGCTGCTTTCTACAACTCCTAAGCTCTGGGTTACCTCAACTGTCATGGGTTGAACTGTGCCTTTGAATATAGCTACCACTGGCACCTGTTAATGTGACCTTATTTGGAAGCAGGATCTTTTTATATGTAATCAAGTTAAGATGATGTCATTCTGGGTTAGGGAGAACCCTAAATCCAATGAATAGTGGTGGCTTTATATGAAAGAGGAGCTACAGAGACACAAAAGAGACAGAGTTGGAAGACAGAGGCAGACAGTGGAATTAAGCAACCATAAGCCAAGGAATGCCTGGAGCCACCAGAAGCTTGAAGAGGTAAGGAAGAACTCTTTCTTAGAGCCTTCAGAAGGAGCATGGCTCTGCTGACACCTTGGTTTCTGACTTCTGGTCTCCAGAACTGTGAGAGACTATTCTCTCTCTTTCTGTTATTTTAAGCCATCCAGTTTGTGGCATTTTGTTATGGCGGCCCTAAGGAAATGAATACACACAGCATCCTCTTTTTGCTCTTTCAATCTAATGCTTGTGCAACCAGTCCCCCAATCCTCTGTTGTAAATTCCCTGTTCGAAATACCCAGTAAGGTTTTTGTTCTGCTGAAATGCAAACAGAGATGCCACCCCTCCTCTCAAACTTTCAGTACCTTGTATTTTGATCCAAAAGATAATCAGTAAATGGTTGATGAATATAGTAAATAGAGAAATTGCAACAGCAGATTAATATCAATGCATATTTTTTCACCTGTCATATTTAAAACTTGCTAATTGCTAAATATTTTGCCCAAATTAATCTTTATAATTTTACTTAATAATATGTCTTGGAAATCTTCCTGTATCAAGGCCAGCCATGTTATTTTACAGCTGCATAGCTTTATCAATTGGATATACTGTAATTTAATTGTCCCTGAAGGATTTCTCATTGTTTCCATTCTTATTTTTAATTTTTTAAGAAAATGTTTATTTCAGTTTTTAGAGGCATTTACCAAAAAATGCTACACTAAACTTTTATTTTGTTCTGTTTTATTTTATTTTACTTTAATTTAATTTTTTTTTTTTGTGAGATGCCAGTAAGGTAATTACCTAGCTGTAGCATTCCTAGATATGAGGGACTGTACAACTGAAGTTCTAATAAATATTGTCCACTTCTTCTATAAGTGCTGCATTCATCTGAAAGGGCTCTCACTAGAGAAGGCTTCATGATATAATACAACTTGGAGAATTATGCCTTTAATGAGCCCACTGGCCTAAAAGAATAGCCAGTAGGACAATTCTGACTCCTACTTTTTCTGCGCTGCTGAGCCATTTACATTTCTGAGAGCAATGAGATGAAACCCAACAAGCAAACCACCAGAGCATAGCAGCAGAGTCAACAGTAGCTCTGAGAAATGGGAGGTCTCTCAAGGAAGAAAATCGCAAAAACTCACCTGTAGGCAAATCATGTGACAAATCAGAGGAAGCTTTGCTCAATAATTCAACAAAATTCTGCCATCTGTGCAAGAAAGGGAAACAGAGTATTGGTGATCAATGTAGAAAGCTCTGGAAGAATGTGCAATAAAGCTCGAAGTTTCTATTGATTGATATTGAAGGAGCTTTTTTTTTTTGTAGCTGAAGGAATTTTTATTTTTATTTTATTTTTTTATTATGTTATGTTAATCACCATCCACACTGACCAAACTATGGAAAGCATAGTCTTTATCCATTCATCTGTCCATCGACAGATGGATGGATGGATGGATAAAGAAGATGTGATATATATGTATATTAAAAATTAAAAAAAAAAAATATATATATATATATATACACAGTGGAATATTATGCAGCCATCAAAAGGAATGGAATCTTGCCATTTGCAATGATGTGGATGGAACTGGAGGGTATTATGCTGAAGGAGCTTTTTGATATCTGTATCGTTCAGGGTATAATTCAGGAAACAGAAACTACTTTAGAAGTCTCTACTAGAACAGGGCTTTAGTATAGGAAATTAGGTGCCTACACAATTATTGCAGGGGTTAGTAGAATGGAGGTTGGCATCTGCTGCTAGGCTCAGGATTAGTTCTCACCAGTTCTGGAGACCAGTAAACTGCAGGAAGTTCTGACTGACGTCTCGGTTGTCCCTGACTATGAGGTTGGTGACTAGGCAGTACAAAATGCATTTTGGCCACTGCAAAAACTGATGCCTGCCAGGGTCTGGGGTTGCTACTACTTCAGGAAAATAAATAAATACTTAAAATGTCCCCGCCCCCACCCCAACACCTTCTGCCTTTTAAATCACACGAAATTGCATCTCACTGATGGAGCTTAAATCAGTTCCAGAACCTTGGTGTTTTTTTGTAGCTTCCCCAAGAATGGGAAGTATTGCAATACAGGAAAAAACATAGGAGGGGATATAGAAATGGGTTCTGAATGCAAATAGACAATATTTAATGAAATCTCCAAGCAGCAACTGCATTAAACAATGTATGTACGTGGGACAGTCAGAGAGTCATTGAAGGCTTACTAGTACTTTAGGAACACTTTGGTAGTGAAAATCACCTGTATTTGCTTGCCTGGCATCTATCCTCCATTAATATACAAATATGTTCTTCTCTGGGATGATGGACTATAATCAATGCCCCATAGCCTACCCTGGCCAATGTTGTGACTCACCTTGTCTAATCTCTATTTATCACTTTCTCCACTCATCCCTCCTTACTTTCCTCCCTCTCTCCCATTCCATATCTCTGTATCTCTCATTAATTTTTGGTTCTGATTCTTCCCAAAGTTTTATTTTTCCCCAGTTTTGTGTATAACTCCATATACTTTCAAAATATTTCTTTTTGCTTATGTTAACAAAAGGCAGTTTCTGTTGCTAGCAACCAAACTGCAACTGATCAGTATTGTTATCTCCTTCTTGCCCATCAGAAGTCAAGCAACTATAAAGCCCAAGTTGTGAGATACAGAAGCCCTGAATTTTCTAGAAGAGTTCTAATGTCATGTGATTTTACTCTTTAAATAAAAATGATTCATTGTTTTGCTTATACCTCATAAAACTTTTCCTATGCATGACATCTCAAGTCAGAAAATTTCTTTGGTTGGTATGGAAATATGGCCTCCAGAGCTTCATGTCAGTTTGGGCACAAGAATAGATAAGGTGTAGGTATGCAGAATCATAAGCCTGATAAGCTGATGACTCTATCAGCTGCTGAAGGGATACACAGGGAAAAGAAAGTTGGAAAAGCAGCACTGTTGAGAAATATCAATAATCATGCAAAGGTCTGATATTAATACAGATCTGAAAGTGAGCTGCAGTGGAAGCCAACTCCTGTCTTCGATGCTTGCTGCAATTCTGTCCTCTTAGGAGGGCCAGGCTTAGGCCTGCACTATCTTCTGATTCTTAGAAAAACAGCCACAACAACACAACAAAAATCTAGATCCATCAATGGTTCCATATTGCATAACATTTATTTTTCAGAGCTGTTAGGAGTTATCAAATATGAGATAAGACATCTGGACCAACAGCATCAGAAACTCTTCTGCTCCTTCTTGAATAGTACTGATAGTAGGGAGAGGAGACTGTGAGAACATTTTGTTAAATATTGAGCCTGGACACTGCCTGATTTAAATGGTGTGTAAGACTTATGTGACCAGTGAAATCCTTGAGATCCTTCTAATTATTTTTTCCTTTCTTCCATATTCTTTCCATTACCCTAGGACCTTTGAAGAGCCAGTGATAATTTAAATGTGAGAATGGGTTCCAGTTACCATAACAGGCACTATAAATCTAATCACAGAAGCAGGTGCCAAACTCCCAATGTTGAGTCAGAGAGTTCAGGACTGGAGGACAAGGTCTGTGAGCCTGATTTTAGACTCAGGCAGATCTGAGTTCAAATTCTAACTTCCACTAGGTTATTAAGTTAAAACGGCCTTTAGTAAGCATTCTGAGTACTTTGTGTGCATTATCTCATTTAATCGTGACAACCATCCTATGAAACATGTAAATGAGTTGCCCAAGGACACACTGATCAATGGAGTAGCCAGAATTTAAACTCTGGCTGTTTGACTCCAAATCCTGCATGCTCAACCATTGTATTATATGGCCTTACACGTGAATGTAATATTTGGTTTCAGTTACATTTTTTTCTCATGAACACAGCTCCAGTGTCTTCTGATATTCATTATTTCAGAAGTTTGAGGTCAGTCTGATTTGGGTTCATTTAAAATTAATGTTTTCCTGCCTTTGCTTTGGTTTAGTTTTATTTTGGTTTTGGCCTGCATCCTTAAGTAGTTTTCTTTGTCTCTGTAAAAACAAAACTTTTGTCAGACATGATACATTTTTTTTCTTCATTTAGCTTGGTCATACTGAGTCCTTTCGATCTGTACACAGAGGGTTTTTTCTTTTTTCCCCATCTCTGCAAAGTTTTTTCAGTTGTGGCTTTTGTTGTTAGCTCATGTTCCATTTTTTCTAGTTTCTTCTTCCACAGTGTCAAGGCCTCTTAGGTTCAATTTCTTTTTTTCTTTTTTTCTTTTTTAAGATTTTATTTATTTATTTGAGAGAGAGAGAATGACAGATAGAAAGCACGAGACGGAAGAGGGTCAGAGGGAGAAGCAGACTCCCTGCTGAGCAGGAAGCCCGATGTGGGACTCGATCCCGGGACTCCAGGATCATGACCTGAGCCGAAGGCAGTCGCTTAACCAACTGAGCCACCCAGGCGCCCTCTTAGGTTCAATTTCTATTCTTCCTCTTCTATGTCTACTATCCTCTCTCATTTTTTTCTCTGTTTTTCTTTTTTAGATTTTGTGGAAACCTCTCAAGTTTGACATTCTGTAATAGATTTTCTCTGTTACTTTTACTTTTTATTGATTCCTGGTTACCTCTTTTATTTTTGTAAATAATATTTTCTTGGAGGGTGCCTGGGTTGCTCAGTCGGTTAAGTGTCTGATTCTTAGTTTCTGCTCAGGTCCCGATCTCAGGGTCGTAGGATTGAGCCCCACGTTGGGCTCCACATGGAGCATGGAGTCTGTTTAAGATTCTCTCTCTCCCTTCTCCCTTGCCCCTCCCCCCACCACTCACGCTTGCTCGCTTTCTCTCTCAAAAAATTAATTAATATTTTATTGGAATACAACCACAGCCATTTGTTAGTGTTGTTTGTTGCTGCTTTCAGGCTACAGTGACATAGTTGGGTAGTGGAAATAGACTGTACGCCCACAAAGCCCAAAACATTTACTATCAGGCCCTTTATAGAAAAAGTTTGTTGACCTAAAAATGTAATACAAATATCTTAATATCATCAAATATCTAGCAATCAGATTTCCTTGATTGTCTCATAATTTTTATTGAGATATAATTGATATGTAACATTATATTAGTTTCAGGTATACAACATAATGATTCAATATATGTATATATAGAGAAGTGATCCCAATTAGTCTAGTTGACGTACATCAGCACACATAGTTACAATCCTGATTACCTCTTAATTTGGCTTATAGAAGCTTCTGTTTCTTGAAACTGTCCATGTTTTACTAAGTTCTTTCTAATTTCTTCTGTTCACTTTAGTGCTTTCTAAATTTCATTTTATTTATTTATTTTTTATTTTTATTTTATTTTTTTTAAAGATTTTATTTATTTATTTGACAGAGAGAGAGAGACACACACACACATAGAGGGAACACAAGCAGGGGGAGTGGGAGAGGGAGAAGCAGGCTTTCTGTGGAGCAGGGAGCCCGATGCGGGGCTCGATTCCAGGACCCTGGGATCATGACCTGAGCCGAAGGCAGACGCTCAACGACTGAGCCACCCAGGTGCCCCTAAATTTCATTTTAATAGCTTATTATGCTTATTACTTTCCAGTTGGTTTCAATAGAGGACATGACTACATAAGGCCTACAGAGAACACCAATGGCTTTCTAAAGGTTTCCTAGTTTTTAGAGTAGATCATTTTCAAAAATTTGCTGCTATTTGGAGTCTGCAGGATTGTCATTGCCTCTCCATGTTCTGCAGTATTTTTTAAAATTAGGCCTCATATTTGGGGTTTTCTCTATTCACTGTCAAATGAGGAACTGTTCACATTCTGCACAACCCAACAGATTGAGTTGCATAGACTTCCCTTGGCCCTGTTTACTGCTCATTTAGCCCTACAGTCAAGGAATGAGTAACAACCCTCACTGATGCCTGGTGTCCCTTCACTGGGACCACCTCAGAGATGGGTTGCGTATCAGACATGAAATTAGCCTGTATGTCATCATTGATACACTCAGCATATACAATTACTAGGATCTCCCTCCCTCTGCAGCAACCCACCTGCTTTATTGCTAGGAATTATGCCTCATCAAATGCAGACCTCACACCCAGGTTGCCCCTGCCCACCCCAACTTTCTGCCTTGTCATTCTTGGAAGTTGAGCTTTCTGCATAGGTACAGAAAAGCAGCGTGTGGGTAAGCCTGTGTGTGTGTGGCCTTGGGTGGGGATGGACACAGGCTGACAGTACTCAGGCAGCTACAGAAAGCAGT